AATACATATGTGTCGTAACCGAGGATATACGTGATAATCTCAAATAAAATGAGCATTTTGTTGAATGCTGCTAATGAAAAAATGATGATAGTACTGCATATTACTAATACTTACTCCTGTTACCCCTCGTCCTGAGGCATAGACCGCCCACCAACATTCTCCATTCAGCTATAACCTGAGAAATCTTTTTCATATCTTTCCAGTCGATATTCATCATATTCATGTCTGCTTCCGATTATTGTCGCAGTGTGTTCTTTGGTCTTCCTCTTTTTAATTTCCTGCTACCATCCCAAGCATGTGCTTGCCTCGTTATTCTGTTATTCTGTGAAGTTCAAATCGTCTAGCCAAGTTCAAGTTGTCCATTGTATTCTTTGCTTCCCCTCACATGTCGAGGTCTTCATAATCGAGTCAACCACCAGAAGAAATAGGAAAGGTGAGGGTAAGCAGCCTTGTCTGACACAGGTCCTCACTTGAAATTCATCTGTCACTTTTACTCCATTCACGAATTTCCAGTGTGATCCGGTCTGGTGAACTCGAATTTGTTAGGTCTCCCACCTCTCCCACTTCACTTACTTGTTTACTTTTGTGCATTCAGTTTGTGCCTGGACTTTCTCTGTTCTTGTTCGATTGTAGTTAACTGCTGTCTTTCTGTTCTTCCTTACTTGAATCTTGACCAGAGTGTCGATAGAGATCTATTCCTGATGATGATGCTTGTTACTACCCAGAACCTCCTGACACATTGAAGTTAATGATTCTTTCATCCCTTTCCAATTGTCTTCTTCTTTGAGTAGATTTTGTAAGGCTTGGAACGGGCATTAACTGTAGAAGAGTTACGGGCGGAGTTAAAATAATAATGATAAAACAATAATTTGTTATATTCCAGTGAGTGACGTTTAGGATTTTTGACATTTCATGAATTATTTACTCTGAAGGAGTGGCTAAAACGTAAAATTTCACCAGTTTCAACGTAAATCATCATTTAACTCCCTAGCATTGCCTTATTGTGAACTTTGTGACACCATACAATAGTTATGAACTTATAACTGTAGTACGTGATAGTAAAGCTATTTTTGTAAAAAAAATTGTACGCTCAAATTTTCTTTATTTTAGAACGATAAATGCTAATGAAATCACTCTTTTAGTAAAAGAATTGATAACTTTAAGTAGAAGTGAAATGTGAAGATTACACCACAAGTAACTAGCAGTACGTTCTGCTAACTTTGAAGTTAACTTCTTGTTTTTGATTAAGATCATGAACCGATTGATGTTAGATCACCTGGAAGCACTGGACGACCGTTTCATCCTGTTGTGGGACTGATCAGCAGTGTGCATCTACGGTCCCGCTCACGGGATTCGAATCCAGGATCTATCGGTCTCGTGCGCGAACGCCTAACCTCCAGATTACTGAACCTGCATCTAACGGTGTTAATGTCTAACCTCAACCAATCCACAAAACTGCGCGACCATCTTTCATTGTACTGAGGTAGATACCTGTCTCTACCCGACACGGATTAGCACCATTGGTCACAGCTTTTCACTATGACTCCGAGAATTTCCTCACAAAGCTAGTCACTAGTGCGCTCATGGTAATTTCAGTTATTAACGTTTGTCTTGTCATTTTTCACATAATTATTTCATCTTCTCTTTCAATCTGACTCTTGAATTTATGGCTATTCATAGTTATTTTGATTTGTTGATAAATTGTGTCAATTTAAATATGTTTACCAATTAGAAATTCTTGTCTTTATATTCTGTCAACCAAACATTTCAACATTTTCTCAGTTGAAAGTGTGTCTATAGGTGCCAATATTTATTGATATAAGCAAAAATAAATTTTTACATTTAATGACTAGTTGATTTTTTTTACCATGAAGAAATCCTATTTATACTGATAAACGTGTTATGAGTGCAATTAAAGAGAATCTAAATTAACTTAAACTACGTCTCAAAAGGATATTCTTGAGTCATGTCGAATAGACATTTTATCTTAAGCAAAAATGTATAGTGGTTAGCAGTGGAATCGAGGATGCGCGTTTCATCCAATTAGGAACTCGTCAGCTAGATGTACCTGCATCTCAGAATTGATGTTCACCCGGCGACTCAAACCTAATACCATTCATATCAAACACTCTCGCGTTATCCACTTAGCTACTGAATCCTGATAGTTTACGACTTTTCGCAGTACAAGTTACAAAAAATTACAATCAGAGACATCGTGAAAGCTGACAATGTTCATTGAAAAAGATGAACATTATTGATATGTCGATTCCTGAGCTGATAACATCTAACTGGTGATCGCTCAATATTTATCGTCAGAATCGATCAAAACTTAAGAAAAGGAAACTTGTTGAAATACTTTGTGCTGAAAATGGTAATATTGTACCGAAAATGTTGTATTGAATAAAGCCACTAATAATAACAGTAATAATAATAATGTGCTGTTGACGTCAATTGGAGTCAAATGTAATTTGTAATTGATTCATTGTAGCTGTGTAAATGTTATATGATTATATTAACCAGATCAAATAATTTTCGTATGTATGTTATAAATGTTGATAAATGTTTAAAAAACAATTTCGCTAGTGAAGAAAAGAACAAACAACGACTATTTTTAGATTTCAGAATTCTAACAGCTGAACAGTCATGAATGATTGTTAACCATGTACAGAACTTACTTAATCGATCATTATATTATAGAAAAGCTTATTAAATGTACGTTACTTTTGACCTTGAGTGATCATGATTGAAATTAAACAGTAATTTGCTTCTAGTCACTTAATATATGTACAAAGTATTTATTCAACAATCTGAGGAGTCCCATACTAGGATGAAACGGCCGTCCAGTGCTTCCAGGTTTTCCATGGTGGTCTAGCTTCAAATGACTCATGATTTCAATCAGTGAAATTTCTAAAATCTCCACAAAACCCCTTCTGATAAAAAATAGTTAATTCAAAATATATATAGTTTAGAAGAGTGTACCCGTTTAAAAATGGCACTTAATATAAGCCTGAATAATTATGTAAGTATATGTTGGAAAGTATAACATTGTTAAAATAGAAAAATACTCAGCTTCGTGAAGTTACCAAAGATTTGTGTTAGCGAAAATAACTAAAACTAGTTGGTTTTTGTATTGATTGTTTGAATCTTCCCATTGATGTTTAGGACTGTAAGTGATCAGTCTCATATTGGTATATATGCATATTGTACAGATTACCCGATATAGTCATTAAGTCACAAGCATTCTAATCAGAGATGAATGGTGGTCGGCAGTGGACTTGCGTTTTATTATATTTGAGACTCATCATTTGGATATATCTGCACCCCAGAGTTAATGTTCACTGCTTATAATGTTTGTGACTTAAGGCAGTATTGAGGCAATCCAGATCGGATGCACATATGTTAGTAAGAGCTTGATCAATTACAGTCCTAAACATCAATGGGAAAATTCAAACAACCAATACAAAAAGAATTAAAACTTTACCCCACTGCACAAGCTAGTGGCTATTTGAACTGGATAACGTGATGGCGTTTAAAGTGTGTGGTACTGGACTTAAGTCCCGGAGCGACCATCAACTCTGAGATGCATGTACATCTAGCTGATGAGTCTCAAGCGGGACGAAACGTGTGTCTTGGGTTCCACTGCTAGCCACCATCTTTGCTTATATACTAAAGCTAGCTTTCAAACTTGAAACTACCCTATTATTTTCCATAATTACGTCTCATTGACCGGTAAGTTGGCAAGCAAACTATATTCTATTCACAACAACTAAATCAAGTGATCATTGTGCTATTCATAGACCACAAGTAAAATTACTGTAGAATAAAATTACAGTTATTAATGAAGTTCAATCTTACCGATTTATACGCATTACATGTAAAAGTGAATTTTTTTCTTAGAAAATTTAATTAAGCCAAATGTTCATCGTGACAACTGATCAGTTTCCTTGTGGTATATTTACATCATGAATATATCGCCTCGATATTGTCAGTAAGTCACAAAGATTCTAGTTAGAGATGGATTGTGGCTAGTAGTGAAAGCAATTTTCATCCAATCTGTAACTTACTAACTAAATATACCAGCATCAAAGTACTTATATTCACGTCGGAAAGAAAAGGAATACAATTTCTAATAACAACATCAACACTGATTTACAGATATACCCAAATAATAGGCTGAAAACAGAAAAAAATACTCTTCCTTTATATCTTTACTTGCTTCTATTCAACTGTTTAAAATATATATCGCTTGAAATTTCGATGAGACTATAATTTATGGACGACCTTTGAGCCACATTAGACTGACCTTGAGAGTGTCCTCCTAATAACTAAGACCAATTGAGGGTTATAAAGTTGTATGAAGAATTAGAATTATGATTTACAATTGATGGTTAAGGTTAAGAACCAGATTAAAGGTTTTCATCATGAACTAATACCAGCTACAATCCCAAAACTTTATTTAACCAAATAGATGAGTGAATTTTGCGCCAAAATCCGAGACCTGTTATCTTTTACCTGATGGATTTATCCATAAATTATAGTCTCACTAAAATTTCTAAAATGATGCAGTTAGATGGTGGTTGGAGGTAGTCGACAGGAAACCCTGGACCTGGGTTTCGTGCTACTTGACACTCGTCAGCAAGGTGTATCTGTGATCTTGAGGGGACTGGTACTCCCTGGCGGATTCGATCTCGTGTCCTTCAGCTTCACAGTCAGAGACGTTACCACTGAGCTATCCGAGCCGCGACCGACCTCCAGTAGGACTGAGATGTAACCACAATTGATTGATCCCTGAGTACCAAGTAGTACGAAACCCGGTTTCAGGGTTTCCTGTCGACCACCTCCAAGCAACATCTCATCTCAATATATAGTGCACGCAGTGTCGAGTCAACTAGACTAGTGGTCACATTGCAATATGGTCGATAACATTCGATCTGCACTATATAAGGACTTGACACACACGACATTGATCACCCACCCAGTGATCAATCAATTGTGAAAATAATGCAATACTTCTTTATTATTTACAAACTGTTCAAAAACAAATATCGATCTACTAGTAAATAATAATATTCAGAACATGATTATTGATTTATAAAATTATTTGATACTATGACAATATGTATCCGTATTCATCAGTCTTTGATAAAAGTATCCAAGTCACAAAAACATTGTACAGAATAATTAAATTTATTCATACAATGATTTATTATTATTAGTTTGGTTTTTTTACAAAGAAAATTTTTTCTCCAAAACTGATCAACACTACTGATTGATAGATCGGTAATAATAAGATATTGATGATCAAGTTACATTTGAATTGATTCAATTAAGTAGATAGATGAAAAATGCAAATAGTATGTTCTATAGAAACCGTTTTATAATTAATTGTAATTCCACTTTGTTTCTTACTTTCTAAGATGATTTGTTTGTGAATGTGTTGAACAGTGTTGATCATTATGATAACTTTTGAATCTGTAAAGAAAAACAATACAGAAGAAAATAAAGAATTAAATATGAATTAAGGATTATTATGTATCGAACTTAAAGAGTATAAATTGATATGTCTTGTCGGTTGAACGCTATATTCGTTTTCCTAAGCTATTCTGATAACTCGCAGGCTAGAACTACACAGCGACCTGAACACCAGAGAGAAGACGCAAATACGAGAGAAATACTTTACTCCAAGGTTCGTTTTTGTACAGAAAATCATGGGTATTTATAGATGTTAGTGTTTGTTAAATCAACATCATTTTTCCGCCAATCCGTTAGCGACATAACAGTAGCACGCCAAGTTGGAATTCTAGAATGCCCCATGGTGCTATGATTGGCTAGGACTCTTCGGCTACTTTTGGGACTCTGGAGGCTCCGTTGAAGTTCTCCGGAAGCAGCTCTGATAACTATTGAGAAATATTTTACAGCCGAATAAAAAAAGAAAGTAAAGGTACAAACTGAATACACAGAAGCAAACAAACAAGTAAAGAGGATCATTACAGCTGACAAGCAAAAATACGTGGACAAGCTAACAACGACAGTGGAAAAAGCTGAAAGAGAAAAAAATATGAGACAACTATATGAAACAACGAAGAAACTGATAGGGAAATATAGTGAACGAAAACAACCAGTCAATGACAAACAATGCAAGTCAATCACTGGTATTCAAGATCAGAGAAATAGATAAGTAGAATAATTAGGGGAATTATTGGATAGACCAAATCCACAGAATCCATCGGACATCTGAGCAGTGCACACAAACCTCCTTATAGATGTCACTCCATCAATGACAGAAGAAATAAGGATGGCCGGTTATCAGACAAATCAACAGTGGGAAAGTAGCACGGCCTGACAATATACCAGTCAAAGCAATGAAGTCTCACACTGAAGCAACTGCAAACATGCTCCACCTTCTCTTCAGGAAGATTTGGGGAAAAGAACAAGTGTCACTGACAAACTGGGAAGGAGGATTACTTGTCAAGATACCGAAGAGAGGAGATTTGACTAAATGTGAGAACTACAGATGCATCAAAATGCTGTAAGTACCAGGAAACGTTTAAAACAGAGTATTATTGAACCGGTTGAAAGATTCATTAAACGCTCAACTTTGAGATCAACAGACCGGGTTCCAGAATGATTGGTCGTGCACATACCAAATCGCAACATTATCAGTCATCTTCGAACAATCACCTGAATGGAATTCGTCACCATACATCAATTTCATTGACTATGAGAAAGCATTTGACAGCATGGATAAGAGAATATTATGCATGCTTGTTCGACGCTGTGGTGTGATTAGCTGAGAAGATCCTCAACATCATACGGGACTCATGCGAAAGACTACACTGCAAGGTCATGAATGGAGAACGGATGGGAGACACATTTCAAGTGAGGACCCGTGTCAGACAAGGCTGTTTACCTCTACCCTCACCCTTTTTCCTTCTTCCAGTGGTCGACTGAATAATGAAGACCTCAACATCTGAGTGTGAGCACGGAATATAATGGACAGCTCAGAATCAATTAGACAGCTTACACTATGCAGATGACATGGCCCTTCTATCTCATCCACATCAACAAATGCAGATGAAGACAAATAGTGTAGCGGCAGTTGCCTCTGCATCAGCAGACCACAACACATACAGAAGGGAGGAAGCAACATCCTCAAATACAACACAAAGAACACCAACGGAATCATACTTGATGGAGAACCTCTGTATTAGGTGGAATATTTCACGTATCTGAGAAGCATCATCGATGAACTAGGGGGATCTGATGCAGATATTAATGAAGGATTGCCAAAGCACGTACAGTATTTATACAGTTGAGGAACATTTGGAAGTCAAAACAAGTGCCTTGAGGAGAACATCAAATTCAGAATTTTCAATACGAACGTGAAGACAGTTAGTTCCACTGTAGGGAGTTGAAACGTGGTGAACTACTGCAATGATTATCACACTGTTACAAGTATTTTTAAACAATTATCTACACAAGGTACTCAATGTCCGTTGACCGGAGACCATCAGCAACAACATACTATGGGAGAGAACAAATCAGCTTCCATCTGAGTAAGAAATTCGGAAAGGACGATGGAATCGGATAGGACATATTTTGGTGAAATCATCAAACTGCATCACGAACCAAGCGCTAACATGGAGTCCTGACGCGAAATGGAAAAGTTGAAGAGCAAAGAACACACTGCACCAAAAATCGGAAGCAGACACGGAAAGGATGACTAGTGACTGGAAACAACAAGGAAGGACCGTCTATGACACAATTTGGCGGAAAATGGTGTTAGGTTCATCCACAAGTGCTAACAGGCACGAGTAAGTGAGTAAAATTGACGTCAAGTGAATTAAGTTACATCAATATTGTGTATATGATTTGGAACATATGCTTCACTGCAGCTAGTTAACCTTGAATTTATATTGGAATATATATTAATTGTTTGAATTTTCCCATGGGTATTTAGGACTGCGATTGATCAGTCTCATATTGGTATATTTAACCGATATAGTCATCAAGTCACAAGCATTCTAATCAGAGATGGATGTTGGTCCGTAGTGTAACCCAGGACATGCGTTTCATTATATTTGAGACTCTTCATTTGGATGTACTTACATACCAGTTTTGATGTTCCCTACAGGACTCGAAACCAGTATCTTTTATTTTAAACGCCATCATGTTATGCACTTTTTTACGGAGCTTAGATAGTCATATGTATTTGCTTTTTGAAACATGCATCCTGGATTCCCCTGCTAGCCGTCATCTATCTGTGCTTATAATGCTTGTGACTAAATGACAATATCGATGAAATTAGCTCAAGATGTTCGTAAGCCAATTAGAGACAGATAATGTCAAGATTTAAACAAACAATATGTGATGAACAATCTAAATAATTGAACTTAATTTGAGACAAAAAAACAGATGCCGAGGTACTCTTAAAAATGAAATTTTTTTATTCATAACTAGATGACGAAGAAGAAATATTTAATTAGATATCACGAATAGGTTCTTTTAAAACCTAAAAACTTGAAAATTTTATCATATGCTCGAAAAACTAAATTCGTTTTAGATTCTGCTTTTCTGGAAATTTAATCCTTACAATCTGTCATCGCGTGTTATTATTCAATTTTTTCATACTTATCGACTTTTATCAAATACATTACTTTAATTTAGTGACCAGTGGAGCTAATCAGTGTAGGGTAGAAACAGGTGTCCACCTCAGTACAATAAAAGATGGTCGGGTAATTTCGCGGATTGGTTAAGGTTAGACATTAATACCGTTAGATGCAGGTTCAGTGGTCTAGTTGGTTAAGCACCTGGAGCGAGACTGATAGGTCCTGGGTTCGAATCTCGTGGGGTGCAGGATCCCGGATGCGCACTGCTGAGGAGTCCCATACTAGGACGAAACGGCCAATACACATCCATGATCCCACCGTCGAGATATGAACCTAGAATTATTTATTATGACACTTAATACATTGGCTAGTTAACCAATGTTAAGTATGTAAATATTAGATCATAATTCATTGAATCGAGAATAATTTGAAATAAAATAAAATAGTATTTCAATGAGATTTCTTCTCACACCACTTACACATACAAGGAATCTGTTATCTTAATACTGTTCGTTCCACACTACATGTCTCTTACACACTAAATCAAATACCTACTTTAAACATTGTTAACGTTGATTGGATGACCTATTCAGTATAAAGTGAGCCGGAGAACCATGCACCTATTTATATTTGATAATTTTGATGTTTGATTATATTTCCTTGAAAAATATTGGATCAGATTATTAGGCGAAACGTTGGATTTATTTCAGATTCATTCGTTAGAACTTTACAAACACATTCTTCCTCTTTTATTCTTAAAAACTATTACACCAACATGAGTATCTATTGTATAGATTATTAAACAGAGTTGAACAATAAGCATTGAAAAAAAGAAGCAATAAGCGTTATTTAAATAGAAAGAATGTATTTATAAAATCTCAGCCGAAGAATTCGAAGTAAATCCAATATTTCGCCCAGCAATCTGATCCAAGCTTTTTCAAAGAAGAAAAACATTAGATTTACTTCAAATTCATTCGCTAAAATTTTACAAATACAACATTCTTCCTCTTCAATGTCTTACATCAACTCAACGCCCAAATACTGTGAAATTATTCGATCAAATTTAGACGAAAGTTATTATTTAAATATATCATTTGAACGATTATTACATTCATAAAGGGAACTAATTACAAGAAATTTTCTAGATTGGCCATGAAACAATCAGCCAAAAGAGGACCCAATGGAGAGCGCATTGTAACCTCATCTGTTGGCGTAGGAATTGTCCTTATGGATCGCCTTGACTATATCTCTAAAATATCTTCGAGATTATCTGATCCTGTCGAATTCTCTAAAGAAACCGTTCAAAAAGACACAACTTAAAAAACTGAAGAGATGCTAATTAAAATTCTAAGGAAAATGAAAGATGAGTCTATTATCAACTGTGATCTATATGAACATCTGAAACCATCGGGTTCCGTTATACCAAGACTATATAGACTCCCAAAAGTTCATAAGAATAATGTCCCTCTACGTCCTATGCTTGATATGAACAACTCTTATCACTTGATCGCTAAATGGTTAGTTGACATTTTGACCTATAATTTATTATTGTACGATTTACGGTTCTTAAGCTATGTTCAGTCTATTAATTACTGTCCCCCTCATTCACAACCACTTTTTGGCTTATTTGTGTACACATGTTATTTTCTATTTTATGGTACGTTGTGGTCTGTCTGATTGATATATAAACCGAGTATGTCTGAAATAAACGATTCGATTCGATTCATATTACGGAAGCTGGTGTTGTGTTCTGGACTCAAGTGGAAGGGCTAAAAAGACATAGGACCAATAAGGACGCTAAACTGCTCATACCGCTTCAACGTCATTGGTTTGGCATAGTGCGAAGATTGTATAAACTGTATTCTGATTGGTCGAAAAGTCGCGTGACAGAAAAACCAGACACCCAAGGTCATAACATGTCACTTCTCTTTTTAACAAATGTTCCTCTCACAGAAACTATTTGTTTTTTATATAACTATATTGAAAACAATAATCTTGATATGTATATCCCAAAACATTATCTTAAACAACTACTTTTACGATGTACACTCAACGTACAGTTTAAATTTCATAATGTTTCCTATAGATAAACAGATGGAGTTACAATGGACTCTCCATGGTTATCTCGCTTGACTGATGGTTTCATGACCAATCTAGAAAATTCGATACTTCGACCAATAATTAAGAGATTTCATTTATATAACAGAGATATATGAAATGTATTGGTTTTAATAAATAAGGGTAGATTTTAATACCCGGTTGAGGTAAAAAAAAAAAACAACATTATAAATCAATAATTTTTATTATTGACTGTATATGAATTAAAACCTTTTCGTTTTACGGTACTTTGCATATCCTGTCAACAAGGATTATTTTTAATGGAACTAATGAAATATTAGAAATAATTTCGAATACTATTTTCAGCCAAATTTTTTGTCAGTAATGAAAGTCATTCATTAAATGATTCATTTTATATTTAACTTTCCTTTAAAAAAAGACTTTATTTCATAATAAACTCATAATGAGTAACGGAAATAAAAACAAGATTGTAAACTGAATCTAAATCATTAATCATATATATGGAGTATCATTACTCATAAGTAATGAATAGTTAGTTTTGGAAAACATTTTAAAGTGTAACACCAAGTGATTGAAGTTTGAATTTCATGTGAATTATTGATTTCTTCATGATTTCATGCAATTAGTTCCTGAGGGAAGCCCTAACTTGGAATCCTGAAGGGAATCGGAAAATTGGAAGGCCAAAGAACACATTACGTCGAGAAATAGAAGCAGATATGAAAAGGATGAATAACAACTGGAAGGAGTTGGAAAGGATTGCTTTGGACAGGGTTGGATGGAGAATGCTGGTGAGCGGCCTATGCTCCTTCACGAGGAGTAACAGGCATGAGTAAGTAAGTATGAATTTAAATAACACCAGAACAAATATTGATGTAGAGTAATATGAATTCATTATAGTTCGTGGTTACTCGTCAGCTGCTTACAACCAAATATGTATTAGAATGTTATATTGAAATAAATAGTATAGAATGATTGACATAAGTGAAAGTAAAGGACTGGAATGATAAAAGGTTATCAATGATAACTATATATATGCAAGAACACATCAGAGGTTATTATGTGTTAGAATCAAGGGAACGTTAAGGATGGGTGCTGTAATAGTAAAGTTCAGAGACAGATAAGATAAATTGTGTAATAATTTTAGAAGTAATAAAGGATTCATGGAATTGAAAAATTAATAAGATGGGTTACATATTAATTGAATAGAGTTTGAAGAGTTCACATAATTTAAGAGAATCAAGTGAGTGGAAATGTATGAAGTTTTCTTATCTCAATCGCTTCAGCAAAACGGAGAGCAGCCGTACTTCTTTGTTTGCTAATAATTTTATCTGTTTCTGAACTCCACTATTACATCACCTATCCTTAACGTTTCCTTGATTCTAACACCTAACAACCTCTGATCATCATCGATAACCTTTGTCATTTCAATCCTTTACTTTCAATTATGTCAATTGTACCATACTATTTCTTATCTCAATATAAAATTCTAATACATATTTGGTTGTAAGAAGCTGATGAGAACCACGAACTATAATGAATTCATATTATTCTGCATCAATATTTGTTTTGGCTTTATTTAAATTCTTCATGTTTATTTGATATTTTATAAATAGTGTATACTAGCTAGTTGAAAACCTAGGTCAATAGTTTGTTATTAATTAACTTCTAATATCAAATTGTCACAAGTATCTGGGTTTTTTTTCAAACTACTGTGGTGTGCGCTACTTATATTAACATAAGTAGTAGATGATGTTAGTCGCGAACAGAATGTCTGGCAGCAGAGAGACAAGAGGATCTAACAGTAAAGAATGGAAACAGGATGGAATTTGTATGAAAATGCAAGAACAATGAAGTCTGAGCCATTATGAGACAATTGATGGACATTTTACAAACTACATATTTACTATTTGATTGTTAGATTTTATTAGCAAGTCCTGTAATTTCGTGACAAATACATTCGATTGTCCCCACCCGTGTTCTGTTAACTACGCTACTACTTGTAATTAAGGTAGTATAGAATAGCCATTATTTTTTAAATATGCGCCAGGTATCAGTTCTCAAAAAAGACAAACAGTTAGTACGATGTCTTCACTTCGATACAAATGATTAACAAAACACTTTTAGTCTATGAGATATAATAGAGTATTTTAATCATATCATGTTTTAATCCCATATCCCATACTTCCATCATGATCCAGCTTTAAATGACTCATAAATTTAGAGAGACTACAATTTATGGATAAACCGATCAGATTTACAAAAACAGGTCTTGAATTTTGGCACGAAATTCACTAATTCATTTGGTCAAGTGGAGTTTTGGGATTATAGCTGAAGTCAGTTCGTTATGTAAACCGGTATATCTGATTCCTAACCCTAACTATCAACTGTTAATATTAATCCTAATTCCTCACACTGGTGTGTAACCCACGTTTAGCCGTAGTATGTAGGTGAAAATTACCAAGGTCTCTTTAGCGTCAATCAAAGGTCGTCCATAAATTATAGTCTCACGATGAATTCAACTATTAAATTCCTATCTTTTTTCAGAAAATGAACATAAATCTTGTGAACAAAATAAATCTTTCTACTGAAATGTATTTACTTTGTTAGATATATATGGATTTATTTGTAGTAAACATATGGACATTGATTCACTTGGTATTGTTTTACTCGAATAGACCCATTGATGTTTAGGAATGCAGTTGATCAGTATCTTATTGGCATATGTGCATACTGTGCGTATTGCATCGATATTGCCTTAATTACAAGCATTCTAAGCAAAGATGGCTAGTGGCTAGTAGTGGAATCCAAGATACGCGTTCCGTTCTATTTGGGACTCGTCAGCTGGATGTACTTGATCAATTGCAGTCGTAAACATCGATGGGTAGATTCAAGTAAAACAATACCAAGTGAATTAAACTTCACCCCATTTCACAAGGAAGTGGCTATCAGGACTCAGTACTTAGTGGATAACCTGATGGCGTTTGAAGCGAACAGTACTGGGTTCGAGTCTCAAAGTGAACATCAATACTGAGATGCAGGTACATCCAGCTGAAGAGTCCCACACAGGACGAAATGCGCATTCTGGATTCCACTACTAGCCACTACCCATCTTTGCTTATGGACATTGATTTCATGAGATCTGTACAACTAACGATTAGACATACACTGAACAAGATGTTTTAAGAAAGTATTATTTTTTTAAGAATACATCATAGGAGTTACGATAGTTCTTTATTAAAAACCAACAAGTTACAAATTCAAACGTAGCATTATCCACTATGATTGATTTAGCCAACTTTTACACAGTGTGATTAAACACTATATACTTTATTATCCAAGACTGATTAAATATATACATAGTCAGTCTATCATCATATTATCATGACGAGTTAAAATAATACATCTAATCTGTGATGAAACCTACTGACAGTCTAGATTTCCAATCCTTAAATTAAATTGTAACAAACTAAAACAAAATTGTGTGGACAAGTAATTAAAACAATTTCACATGAAGACTGAATGATTACACAGAAAGTCAATCTGAAAAAAAAACATTATGAATAAAAAGGTGATATGGGAAAACTAGATGAGACTGAATGTTAATGACAGGAATTCATTGTTGTTGTTTTTTATCTAAATATTAATTTTCCTCCTTTTTCTCCCCAGGAACTATTTGTGACTACATTTTTTCCTTAAATTTTTAAGAAAATTCATTTGACCATACATCAGTATTATACAACATTGAAGTAATCAGTCTCTTGTTGGCATATGTGCATCTCGTGCGAACTGTCTTGATAATGCCTTAAGTCACAATAGACTGATCAATCGCATTCCTAAACAACAATGGGAAGATACAAGCAAACAAAACAAAAAGGATTTAAAACTTCACTTCATTGTACAAGCAGGTGACTATCAGAACTCAGTAGCTAAATGGATAATACGATGATGTTTGAAGCGAACGGTATTGGATTCGAGTCCTGGAGGGAACAACAAGTTTGAGATACAGACATATCCAGCTGAAAAGTCTCAAATTGGACGAAACGCGCATCCTGAATTCCATTGCTAGCCATTATCTATGATTGCCTAAATAATTATTTCCTTAATAAAATATATATTCTTTGCATTATTAAACCACTTAAGTGAATAAAATTAATAATCTTGTGGGATGTTTATGAAATACTCCAACCGAAGTCATAAATAGTTTATTCTTAAAACAACAAAGTCTTTCCATAGTATCCACTTCTGAAAATTTTCATATTTGTATCAGTTACTTTTCCCGCCCGATTCCATTGTTTTAAATATCCCTGTAAATGCTCAATAATCAATCTTTTCGACTGTCTTATCGTTTTCTGTTTTGATAAAATCGTATTCACAGATGATTCTTCTGAAACATTTACATTATAAATTATTTGTACAGCATGCATCCTTTCTGAAAGCACATGATATAGCACAGGTTTCATATTCTTCTCAACAATGAAAGTCAAAGACTGTCCTCATTTTGTAACATTCTTGTGGTATTCATGGTATTATTATTATCATTAATATTATAAATATTCTTTAACATTTTATGAATTCCTTTATAGTTCTTCAAAGATTTTGAGATAAACTCTACCATATGGTTTTTCAAGATAAATCAAATTACTATATGATAAAATAACAGAAAAGTCAGCTCTAACACTTACTTTATAATGCCTTTGATGCTTGCATACATTTCTGAAAAGAAAAAAATAAGAAGAAGAATATGCTTTATTACACATCAAACAACATTTAAGAATTGTTTCGATTACAGAAAAACAAGAATTGTAATATACTTCAGAGCTTTTACTTTGTACAAATAAACAGATGTTATTATCCTCAAGTAGTTCCTCGGTTCTCTTGATGTATTTTTCTTTGTCCATATTCACTGTGGTGCATCTTTTGTCCGCTGGGACTACGACAATATCTTTTCTAGTTCTGAGTTTATTTTAAAGCGTTTTGTTCTTGTGAAGTCAGTTGGTTGTTATCCTTCATCCGTTGAGTTAGCGGTTTGTCTTATTTTTTTGTTGCGTTCCTTCACTTATTCCGGAAGTTTTGAATGAGGACTCTAGTACTGTGAAGAATTGTAGTTTTGAGGCGTTGCTTGTGTTGTAGTTTAAACCCATTCGCAGTAGGTGATCTATGTTTATCAGTGGCAGTTTTGACAGGTTGATCACGCAGTTGTTTGTGTTTTCTTCCATAGTTGATTTTGAGATCGTGTTTAGTTTCTTCTTTATGGCGTTTCTTCTCTGTTCTCTGTGTCGTTTTCATGATATTTCGATGGCTGTTGTCAAGATTTCAAAATGTTTAGAAGCAAACAGATGTGTCCATTAAAGATTAAACCAACAATTATCAATCTATTACCGAGTTACATAGTCCACTAAATATTAAATAGTTTCAGCATTTTTGTTTTCTTTCTTTTTCTGCAAGAAATAATCACGTCAATACCTTCAAGCACTAGATTTTGTTGAAAATAATAATAATCATATAACTATCATATGTGTTTATCTTATTTTTGTGTTATTTTTATATTGTAAACATACAAAATACATAATTCGTAATTAAAATTCCCAAATCAACAGATAATTCTTTTGACCAACCAATGTTTACCCTTCTGTTTTTTCCCTTTCCATTAAAACATCCACAAACTTAAACTAGTCAAAGGTAAATTTGTTTTTCGTACAGAATCTTGTTTATGTTTACTGTACAAACTGTATGATTTATTTCATCTATTGGCAAATTATTATACAGGTAGCATTGAAATCCAGGATGAGCGTTTCGTTCAATTCGGGACTCTTCGGCTGGATGTGTCCTCATCTCAGAATTGATGTTCACTCTGGGACTCGAACCCAATACCATTTGCTTCAAACGCCATCTCATTATCCACTTAGCTACTGAATCCTGATAGATACCTGTTTGTACTATGGGGTGAAGTTCTGGATTACACTGCTAGCCGCCAACTATCTCTGCTTATAAAGCTTGTGACTTAAGGCTATATCGAGACAGTCCGCACAGGATGAATATATGCCAACAAGAGAGTAATCAATTAATGTCCTAAACAACAACGGGGAGATACACGCAAACAATACCAAATGAGTGTAGAACGTATATAAAAAATTAGTAGACTACGACTATATAAATAGAATGAATTTCTTCGTTTTAATTTCCATCGAAGTATATTGTTTGTAGAATGCTAAGATTTCAGTGAAAAACTTTGAATTTTGATTAACATATTCACTGAATGCTATACTTTTTAGTAAATATTAAATGGAAAGTATGTAGAGATAATTAGGAAATGTCTTGGTAATTAGCCATTTCTAGAAGTAAATGGAAATAGTAAAAAATCTTAATGAAAATAGGTAATTTTGTCATGACCTAAGGATATTTAGTGCATAAATATCTACACGATGAGACCATCTGATATCAAACTTTTATGTCGGATAGACGGTTGTAGTTATGTAAGTAATAGTATGAGAACTGTCAAAATAATATGACTCTTCTAAATTTCTAGAAATAATAATTAGAAATTCCGACTTTAGCTCTTTTAGAGTTACCGCCGGTTCCGAGACCGGGTAAAAGAGGAGGGTTGGGCATGGGGTTAGTGACCCCATCCCGTAGAAAACTACCGCGCTAAAAAAAACGCTAACCAGAAAATAATTCGAATTTACTAAAGCGAATTCACTTCACTGTACTTTCTTTGTTATATAACTTGGTTAGTTTAAGGCTAAGTCAGAGTACTTTGAGAACAAAATGTGTGTAAACTGTTGCTATAATAATATCATACTGTTTTTAAGTATGTCAGAGATTTATGAAATATGTTTTCTTTAATAAACCAAATGCTCGTAAATAAATCAATTTAACTATTTAATTGTAACGTGAACTGTTCAAGTAAACATTGATCTTGTGAATTAACTCAGACTGACTGTTTTAGCAAAATATTATCAATTATTACTCTGAATATCAAAAGGGGCATCTGTTTCGCGATTTTTGAAGAATATTGGCTTTCACCTTTAGATGTCATCATTCCTTTAAATGAAGATCCTTTAACTTCCAGGACAGAATTTAAATGATTTAAATGATATTTTTGAGTGAACACATTTTTAGCAAGTTTGTTTTTACGATATGATATATCAAACCGTTCTCTATCCGGACTTGGAACCGGCATTACCATCAAAGAGGTGTTTAGAAGGAGTTTGATCGCATGACACTGCAATTTTATTCATTCTATTGTCATAAAACTACTCCATATTTGCTTGTATAATCATTTCATAATCACAGTAAATGGTCTTTTTTGTTTAGATTTTGTTCTAATTCTCTTCCTTGATTGACGTTATGTTATATGCATATCATATATGTCTTTATTTATTCATTAATATAATGAACATTTATTTAAATTGCGTGCAAGTGGCTTTTAATATCCGGTATACAGTTTTGTTAATGAAATTTTGATACAATTTCCTTTAAACTATAATTTTTAATAAGCTTATTAAATACATATAAAAACCTTAGTGAAATATTGTCTAATTAATCACTTTGCTATTATAGCAAACGTAGATCTACGTAGAAAGTTCAAATATTACTGAACAAGTATCACGTTCGAGAGAATAAATCCAGTCCCAAATAAAAATTAAGAAATATCCATAGGTGGTGGTTATTATTATTAACATCATCATCATTCTATTCATTAGTGTTTATGCTTTATTGAGTATGAAGCAGTATATTGTTATGTTATTATATGTTATATATAACCACTCAGTTAATTGAATATTATCAGTTTAGGGGTTGTGGAGTTTGTTAAGTTTTTTGATTGAGATCATGAAATGATTGATGTTAGACCACCATTGAAAACCTGGAAGCACTGGACGGGCGTTTCGTCCTATCGTGCGACCGATCAGCAGTGCGCATCCACGGTCCCGCTCGTGGGATTTGAATCCAGGGCCTTCCGTCTCGCGCGCGAACGCTTAACCTACTGGACCACTGAGCTGGCATCCAATGGTGTTAATTTCTATTCATTAATCATAATATTTAAATGTTTTCATTATTGATAAGATCCAAATTACGGTAATTTTCAATAATCTACCAAAATTAGCTTATAAATTGTAGGATTTATAAAGTTTATTTAAATCAAAATCAACATCATGAACTATTTTAATGTTCTGATGAATTCATACTATCTTTTCTGATCTCGATAAATATGATAAAGGAGCTGGGCTTTAAATCATTTTCCAATAACATATCGTGTTACTATAGAAACATATGTCATAAGAAAATCTCTATATATATACATACATACCTTGTATAATCGATCTCGTTCTACCATCTCTCTTCTACGTCTGCTTGCCTACAGAAAAGATACCAAAATTAAAGAAAGCAAAAAATCTAAATGAACTAAAATAACACTTAACAAATTTTGAAATAAACATCATCAACTTCATTAATCGATTATACAATGTAGAACAAAAAACACTGGTTAGTGATTAGAAAAACATGTTTCGACATTCGAATTATCTAATTAATAAAATATCATATTGACTATCAATTATAATAATTGTGAACACTAATAAATCATGAGCCAATAGGTAAGGATAGTTAAGGATAAAGCTATCTCATGAATAATACATTCAGGACTGGAGTAACATTAGTCTATTCAGACACGATTGAATCAAATTGTAAAGACTTAACATGAATTACAATCCAATGTATAATTGTTTTTGTGTTCAATAGACTGTAACAATATTAACCTTCAACTAACCATAGTCAGTGAATATTAATCTTCTCTTTTGTTATTCTACTGAATTAATTCATGCTGAGTTCAATATTGAAGATATGAAAGATTCCGTTTGGCTTTAACAGACAAGTCATAAGACGGATCACGATGACGTTGTTAGCAACCATAAGAATACACATATCTCTACATCAACTAATTCGGAATGTTTTGCAGACTTAAGCTTCACAGATAAAAAATGTGAAGTTAACCAGTTGTCAGATACAGCTCATCGGTCGTTTTAGAGAACAATATTTTACAAACAGTCAAAAGAGATTGATTTTCGCTAGAGGCATATATTTGTTGCTCGATTATTTTTTCCCAACTCCAGTCGGTGAATAGCATCAGTATAGGCGAATTCAAGATTACTTACAAATTTGATGAGAGATCAATGTTTACCAGAAATTTTTATAACATTGTAACTTCTCGTCAAACATTAGCAGTTTGAAGCTGATCACATTTTTTCAGGAGTGCTGGTTACTATAAAATATGCATGCAAAAATGTTGCTACTTAAAGAATATCTGTACTACGAGTCTTATACACTGACAAAAGATTGTAGATCAACATGTAATCTGAATGGTAGATAAATACGTTGGGTTAGACTTGATTGTTTATTTATCAAAATCACGTAATATGGCTTTACAATACTCGAGCTGACCAAACATTATCACAGCAATCCCATGCTAATATCAAATGTTACTTGACTAATGCATCATCTTGGGTACACTAGAAGGGTGTGTGAATACATAGTGTTGAATGTTGGCTTATCATGACTTCTCTTGGTCATGTATCTTTCTATCTGCTCTAGTAATTGCTCTGCGTTACCAATAATGTAATATATGGTATTGTGAACTAACTCGCCACCGTGGCAAATAGACTGTCGAGACTAATCCAAGTGTGAATAACGCGACATGTGCTTCACAGCAAATACTTCCAAGTCTTCACTCAAATTCATTTTAGGCTGTATGACTACATTAAATGATTGTTTTGTTCTCTGGTAACTCAGTTTGTCAGACAAAATTCTTGGAAACAATAGAAAACAAATGATGATTTGAAGTTTACAGAAAATGAAAATAGTTCAACTTTGCTGGTCAATAATTTACAGTTTATCACCTACTTACATAGTTAAGTACACAAACTAAGTCAAATCGTTAATTCAAATCAATTAGGATTTCATTAAACAATATACAGCCATTTTTTCAACGTAGAAAGAGTGATCGGTGAAATGTAATCTAATAGATTTAGCAGTAAGAAATTCGAACTGACGAGTATTTTTACTGCACATTGTAGAATAGTCATTGTATCAACCACAATAATGATTATGATCTATCGAACTTAATGAGCACAAATGATGAGTTTTGAAAGAAATTTGGACTATAATGCACTACTGAGGAATATTTTACTGCTGTAAACTCACGTGAAGTAAATTAAATAGCATTGGTATTATGTATATGATTTAGAACATATACTTCACTGCAGCTAGCTTACTTTAAATGTATGTTAGAATATGTATTGCTTGTTTGAATCCTGGCACTGATGTTTAGGAATGCAATTAATTAGTCACTAATTGGTATGTGTTCATCTTGTACATATTGCCAAATATATTCATTAAGTCACAATTATTCTAATCAGAGATGAATAGTGACCGGTAGTGTAATCCAAGACACGCGATTCTATCTCCAAAGGTATATGAATTAAATTTCACTCAGTGACTGATTGAGTAAGGCAACGGTGTTTAAAGTAAATAGTGAGTTCAAGTCATAGAGTGAATATCCACACACGAATAGAGTTAAATCCAATTGACAGGTCTTAAATAAGACGAAATATGTGTTCTATATTTCACTTTAAGCTACTATCCATCTATACTTATATTAGAATAATTTGTATACATTTATAATCAATATTATAAAAAGTAGTCTGATTATATTATATTTGATTAGCTTAGAATATTCAAGTCATAATACACCTTTATATTATTGGAAAGGATAAACAGTTATCTGTAGTAAATGTCAATGGTAATAAATAACACGTGTGAGAGTGTTCTCTTTTTTTCCCTTTTCTTTTATGTCTACCTTATAGATACAATAGACTAAAATGAAATATTAAGAATATTCAATTCAAACCCGTTAATATAAAACATTGTGAATGGAACTGGGTGTTTTTTAATTATTTTGCTTAGTAACAAAAATATATCCTCCATATACACGTTATTATTTCATTCAATATGACAGGAACATTTACAATACTTGAAAAATAATTTAAGTTACATTAATTACGTAATAACTCTTACTTTCTATTGAAGGAATAAATAATGAAATGAAAAGAATAAAAAATATTAAAAAAATTGTGTTGTTGTGCATTATTTATCTTTTTCACATTTCGTATGTGAGCCAACTTCTCAAATATCACTAAATGAGATAGTGGAGAAGATTTATAGATCAAGTGAATGACTGTAATGAAGTTTTGTTCTCAAAGCTGGATGGTCTGATTGTGGAGTTTACATAGTTCTTCTGAACAACATTATTGGGACACACTTCAAGTAGAAGTCTACCACGACCAAACCATCCAGCTCAGGAAAAAAAACTCCATCAAAATCTCTAAATAATTTCATATTACAAATTGTCATTAATTATAGTAATGAGAAATATCAGAACAGATTTTCTGCCCTATTATAAGACTTTAAATATCACTTAGTCGGGAATTGAGCCGAAGACATCAAGATACTATTGTCGGAAGATTATTTTTAGATGACTGAGTTTGAATTCAGTAACCAGTGTTTACGAATTTCATGAACCTATGATATAGCGTAACATTTATATGATGTCATAGAAGAGTAACTCTATCATTCTTCATTACATATAATATAGTTGTATTTACCTACAAAAGTTTACATAAATATCCGATGATGATAATAAATAACAGTAAATCATAGGAAAAAACTGAAAATCTTACAAATTATACGGTCTTATAGGTATCATTACCAAAGTTTGATTTGATAATTTCGAATAAATTGGGCATTGGGTAGATTGTTATAAATAAATAATGTATTTGTAATATCCCAATGAGTAAAAAATTAGATTTTCTGGCGTTTCGTAAGTTAGTGTAAGCCACTTCTTCAGAGAATAAATAATAAAGTCAAAATCAACCCAAGTTTAAATAGTACAACGGAACAACAAGAATATTTTCTGAAGAAGTGGCTTACACTAAGTCACGAAACGTCAGAAAATCTCATTTTTCTACTCATTAGTCTTAGTTTATTCATATGCAGAAATGTATATGTGTAACTATAACATTGTTCACAGGATGTAGTTTGTAAGTTTTGATTTATCCATTTATTGATCAAACCGTTCGATAGATTTGTTTCGTACACTATTTCTGAAAACACATCACTAGATCAATGACTTTCTGGCTTTACCAACTTGAAAAACATCATGTTTAAGAGATGATTCCAAATTAAAACAATTGAGGAGCATTATCTTCTGAAATGATGGAATTCCTGATACCGGTAAAGTGAAACCTAAACTCATACGTAACTGTTTACTTATAACTTTTAAAATGTTCAAAAACATATAAAAAATAGAGTCTATTAATGAATTTTTATTACTAGCTGGTGTAAGTATTCAAAACCATCAATTATATGAAGAATGATAAACTAAAACAATTCATACTCAATGATTTTCATATGCCATATGGTTTTATGTAATAAACTTCAAAGTAGGAGATAATGATCCATGTTATACCTGGTTATCGACTGAAATCTTTATAATTTTGAGTAGAAACCTAGAAAGTAATATCACTGATTACATTTCTGTTTATTTACTTATGGTATAATCGAAAATGTAAAACAAAATTCTAAACAAAATTTTATACTTACGTCAAAATACAACCAGAATATAAATGTCAGATGAGCTAGTACATATAATATGCAGAATGAAACAAAAACATCTCTTTCAATTCTCATCATTAATCGACGTTTATGTTGTTCACGATTCTTTGATTGTAATGCTAAAGCTATCCATGTTTGCTGATTGAATTGTTGAGATAATTTCTGTGAATTTTGTGTATCAATAATTCCTTTATCGTCATTTGAAGTGATATGACCATGTGTAGATTTTTCTATCTGTATCATCAAGCATAAATATAAAATTCATTAATTTCAATAATATAAAAAAAAGAAAACACGAAGTTCAGCGAGCGGATCTCTTTTCGAAAAAGAATTGTTATCTAGCTGTACAATAGTATTTAGATAATAACTATCAGGATTGTTTTGTATTCAACTCCTAAAATCAAAAGAAACACTTACTACCCATGACATAAATGCTGAACTATATGTACAATAGAAGCATTGCTTATCATTATCTCTAATGTGGCTTTGAAAATATCATTACTATTTTACAATCATTTCATAGATTCTGTATTTGAGAGAATTCCTCTCTTTCTTTTTTAGTTATTTCTCATATCCCCATAATTTTATTGATGATTGTTTCTGATATCATTTCGTTTCTTTTCATTTCGATAGTGTAGTAAGAAGACGAAGATTATCAGAACTATGTGATATAATATTGGGTCATTTAATCCTGTTTGTTTCTGAAACGATTTAGGTACATTCTAAGCAAACATGGATAGTGGCTAGCATTGCAAACCAGGATGCATGTTTCGTCTTATATGGGACTCGTCAGCTGGATGTACCTGCGTCTCAGAGTTGATGTTCACTCTGGGACTCGACACCACTTCCATTCGCTTCAAACGCTATCGCGTTATCTACTCAGTTACTGGGTCTTGATACTCACTTGTTTGTGCAATGGGGTGAAGTTTTAAATTCATTTAGTATTGTTTTAATTGAATCTTCCCATCGATATTTAGCAACCTAATTTTGAGATCACGATTACTTCTCCTTATGTATGTGTGACCAAACATATTTATTTTAACAAAATATATTTAGTTATATTACTCTGTTAGCGTTATGGTCCACTGTTAAGTAGATTTTATACACCATTTTATTTACACACCTCACGTAAACATCATACAAAATTTTATTGTTATTGTTTGTACTATATCACCTGGTATTATAATCTTTCTGTTACGTCATGTTTGTTTATTGCTCATATTTCCATACAAAATTCATAAATTAAATTTAATGTCATTAAAATAACCATTGTGTCATCCGAATAAAGAGAATTCAACGAAATTTACTTTATTTATTTGAACACATAAATATCGGTACAAAGGGGCATCGAATAGAAATGCGCCACACAGGTCTCTCGATTCGTGTGTGCGATATGATACTGTTCGGATGCCCAGACCAAAACGGATGGTTTTCTTAGAGGGACACACCTGGAGCCTTCGACCTAAAGGTCTGATCCACAAAGCAGTGGAGCATCGTCAAGACATGCAGTCACATGATAGCCGGTGACCAACAATAGTATCATCGATCAGGATCTTAGATCCCATGCGCACCATTGGTTTGGAATAAGAGTTTTCCAACTCTCTGCTGAAGCACTGCTGAAGAGTCGGGGAACCACCAATTCCAGCCCGAACTCTGAGTGTAAAAACTATACGTCCAACCTCTTATCCATTTTTAGCCTCAATTCACTTCTATAGTATGTTTTTTCTTTTTCTGTACTGTAATCAGTTATTATTATACTTTAACAATTTTTCATGACTATAATCCAGTTGTTATCATGACTTTAATGTTTTTTTTATTCATATCTGTCAAAAGGACAATTATCTTTCATCTTTTTATTCTTCTCTACCTCACTCCCCCCTATTATTGCGTTATCACATTTGATATTTGGAGTCTCGAATCGCTTTATGATGCAATCTTTTCTATCCTGCTAAGACATTTATTTACCATACAACCATAAATACGAATATACATCTTATATATATACTATTGTACAGTTTGATAATAAAATCTTTGAAAAGAAATCCATTCGCTGAATTTCATGTGTTCAACGTTAAAGTAATACTTCGATGAAAACATGAACCACAAAAAACAAAATAATGCAATGTAGAAAGCAATTGATAACTGATTTACCAAATGCAACGATGTGACTTAGGGAAGTATTGTAAACCAGAGAGACAGAGAGAGACAAACATGATAAAACAATTACCGAGATTTAAGAACAGAGGAACAGGTATGTGAAATACTTCGAGGGACTCTTGGATAGATCAGACCCACTGAAGCCATAGGACATGAAAGCAACACATACAGACCTGCCTACCGATGTTATTCCACCAATTATCGAAGAAATCAGGATGGCCATCAGGCAAATCAAGAGTGCAAAAGCAGTAGGACCTGATAATATACCAGCTGAAGCATCAAAGTCACGAGTAGAAGCAATTGCAAATATGATTCACACTCTATTCAGGAAGATTTGGGGAAAAGAACAAGTGCCACTAACAAAATGGAAAGGAGGATTACTCATCAAGATACCGAAGAGAGGAAATCTGTCTTCCAGTGATCGACTGGATTATGAAGACCGCAACATCTGAGTGTGAGCACAGGATATAATGAACAGCTCAGAATCAATTAGACAGCTTACACTATGCAGATGACATGGCCCTTCTATCTCATCCACATCAACAAATGCAGATGAAGACAACAAGTGTAGCGGCAGCTGCCTGTGCATCAGCAGACCACAACATACAGAAGGGAGGAAGCAACATCCTCAAATACAACACAAAGAACACCAACTCAATCATACTTGATGGAGAAGCTCTGTATTAGGTGGAATATTTCACGTATCTGGGAAGCATCATCAATGAACTAGGGGGATCTGATGCAAGTATGAATGAAAGATTGGCAAAGCACGTACAGTATTTATACAGTTGAGGAACATTTGGAAGTGAAAACAACTTTCTTGAGGAGAACATCAAATTCAGAATTTTCAATACGAACGTGAAGACAGTTAGTTCCACTGTAGGGAATTGAAACGTGGTGAACTACTGCAATGATTATCACACTGTTACAAGTATTTTTAAACAATTATCTACACAATGTACTCAATGTCCGTTGACCGGATACCGTCAGCAACGATCTACTATGGGAGAGAACAAATCAGCTTCCATCTGAGTAAGAAATTAGGAAAGGACGATGGAATCGAATAGGACATATTTTGGTGAAATCATCAAACTGCACCACAAATCAAGCGCTAACATGGAATCCTGAATGGAATCGGTAAAACGGAAGATGAAAGAAAACACTTCGTTGATGATTGGAAGCAGATAATGAAAATGATGAATAGGAACTGGAAACAAGTGGGGGGTATTGTATAGGACAGAGATGGATAGAAAATGTTGTTGGTCAGTCTATGCTCTACTACGAGGTATAACATGTATAAGTAAGTAATAAGTAACCATTTAACTTGTAACTAACTATGTAAGCAACAATCATGTATACTTGTTATCCACTCTTTAATATTATCAATAATGTTTAACATTAATAACCACTGAACAACAAAGAAATATTTTACGAGTGTTTAACATCTATGAAATCCTTTAAACTGTCCAAGTAATTTAAAAATATATTATTCAGTAAGATAAATAATTAAACTATGCTGACCTGGGTTAAACTTATATTATTTTTAGCATCAATATAATCATCTATACTGGTATCCTTTACTTGTCTAGATGTTACGTTCATTGTAGAAGAATGCGGAAATGTTAATTCTTTATAACGTTTCATAAATGAAAATTGAGGATTGGTTGATCTTAAAAGATTTTTTGTTGTAAGCTGTTCAAATTCTGCATCACTTGGTATTAATGTGACTACTGCATGCCATACACTAACAACACATAATATTGCCAGTGACATTAGTACATATTTGTCCTGTAAAAATGGAAACAAACAGTTTTTAATTGTTGAATTCATGAGTCAATATAAAGTAGAACACCACTGAAACCCTAGAAGCACTGGAAAGTTGTTTAGTTCTAGTATAAGACTCAAATCAAGGACCCTTGGCCTCGCGCGCGAACACTTAATCTCTGGACCACTGAACCGGCACCTAACTGTGTTAATGTCTAATAATCTTTCATCAAACATATTAGAAAAATATACTTAAAATTACATGATTATTAAATTAGAAATATTCATTTTGTTTACTTAAGGTTTGATACTGACTAACTATATTAAATAGTTCTATCAGTCTTTCATAAGGACGTCTTCACAAGTCATTTGAATGAATTATTTAGCCGCTGAGCTAAATGATCATTTATGAATATAATGGAGAAAAGAAATTTAGAAATTTACTAGATCTAGATTTTGGTTATCATGTTTCAATAAAGCAAATGTCAAAAAAAAACTACTATGTTTTCTTTGAAACATTTATCTGGATCATAAACAAAGATGGATAGTGGTTAGTAGTGGAATCCAGGATGCGCGTTTCGTCCAATTTAGGACTCGTCGGCTGCATGTGCCTGCATCTCAGGACTCAATAACTAATTGAATAAAAAGGCGGCATTCGATTCCCAGAGTGAACAACAACTCTGAGATACAGGCACATCCAGCTGACGAGTCCCGAATTTGTCGAAACGCGCATTTTGGATTCCACTACTAGCCACTATCCATCTTTATTCATAAAGTTTGTGAATTAAAGCAATTTCAAGGTAGTTCGCACAGGATGCATATATGCCAATAAGAGACTGATTAATTGCAGACCTTAACAATAATGAGAAGATACAAGTGAATAATATCAAGTGATTTTACGCTTTGTTTTTAAAAAAATAGAAATTAAATAGTATAAGCTTTCAACCTAATAAGGATGGAAACTATAACCATTAAATATACATATTCTAAACACACACACACACACGTATATTGCTTGTTTTCAATACATATCTTTTCTATTAATTCATCAATAAATGTAAACTGTGCACAAATTTTCATCCCTCCACCCCCCCTAAAATTAACATATTACTGAATATGAAGTACACATTTCTCAATGTATTTTGTTGTGCTTTTTTACACACTAAAATAATTTTATTATATTGGTTTGTTTTATTACAATCTGGTCAAGATTCAACATTCAAAAGGATTTCTTTCAAGTTTCAACTGTTTCAAATCATTAATTTGTTTATTGTTGTTGATCATTTCAAGATCCTTATCATATTGAGGAAATTATTTATTCTCCCAGTAAATTGACAAATTAATACTGTTATAATTGAATAGATTAGATTAGACATGAATTTAGTTGTAAATGATTATTAATAGAAGATATAGGATAATGTTAGCACAGATTTATTACTGTACTAGAACAAATTTATCTAGTCAGAGACATTACAAATAATTAATAGTTGAATTCATGAGTCGATTGAAGCTAGACTACCATGGAAAACCAAGAAGCATTGAAAAGCCGTTTCGTCTTGGTATACGACAGCTCAACAGTGCGCATCCACTATTCCGTTTTACGAGATTCGAACCCAGGATCTGTCAGTTTCGTGCACGAGCTGTTAACTGCTAGACCACTGAGTTGGCATCCAACGGTGTTAGTGACTAACTTCAACCAATCCAATCCATTAATTTACCCAAATCATATCGATTGTAGTGATTAACTTTACAGAAAAACAATCTAGCCAAGGTCTTATCCTTAGTCAATGGCATCACCATTGGAATATCTTTAAATCTCTGTTTCATAAGTTACATATAAAATATCACAACATCACCGACTGTATTGTTTAATCAGAAAGGATAATACTATTTAATAACTTCATTTCTTCTTGATTATTCAGTGTTTGTTTTAATTAAATATCATTAAACATCATTAAATATCATTGCGTTTGACATCTGAGTCATATTCTTTCCTGTTTATATTGGAATATAACTTATAAATTCTCTTGATGTTGTTTACTTGCATCTTCCATTTGTTATTTAGGACTGCAATTTATAAGTCTCTTATTGGCATATTTGTATCCTGTGCGTATTTCCTCGATATTACCTGAAGTTACAATGTTTATAAATAAAGATGGATAGTGCCTAGTAATGGGATTCCGGACACGCATTTCGTCCTCTTTGGGACTCGTCAGTTGAATGTACCTGCATCACAGAATTGATGTTCACATATTATGTAAATAATAAATTGAATTATTGGGAAAAGCTTCATTGAAAAATTTTCATGACAACATACTGTAGACAGTCATGAAACTGAAAATATCTATTGTTAATAGCATAAAACAGTATCATAATTTCTATTTTAGTATATTTTTTACATTTGATATCTTCATTCCTATTAATAATTTAATGTTTTTTTATGAAAACAATGTTTTGAATATACGATAGCAACATCAATGATACTCTAGGCATTAAATAAATAATATACATGTTTACGTAATGTCTGAAATCCTTTAGGTTAGTAACCAGAGGAAAACCTTCAATAATATTGATAATAATAATAATAGTAATAGTAATTACTAGGTTTAATTAATTTAACAGTAAAAAGAAATTATTTAATTTACCATATATGTTAAATAAGAGATTTTCGGTAACGACTGATTAATTACAAATTTGAAAGCAACGGAAGTTAGAAATAATGTAAAAGATAATTGAAGTCGATTTTCTGGTCGTTCCGGTGGTACAGCAAATGTTGCAAATGATAATCCTGTGATAAAAAACTAGAATATTCAAAGAAATAAGATATAAAAACAATAAATGATTAATTTAAATAAAACAGTATATAAATAAATGTATTTTATTTTATTTTAAGATAATAATGATGCGCTCATCATTGTCTTCAATGAGTTACTATCTCATCATAGAATTGGTTGAACTCCACTGATCATGGCTTTTCACTAAAACTCTAAGAAATACTTCAGTGGTCTAGAAGTTAAACGTTCACACGCGAGACTGATAGGATATGAGTTCAAATTTCATATGAATGACCGTAGATGTGCACTGCTGATGAGTCCTATACTAAGACAAAACGGTCGTCCAGTCCTTCCAGGTTTCCCATGGTGGTCTAGCTTTAATTGACTCATGAATTCAACTATTAAATTAACACCAGTCAGTTATATGCGAATTATGCGGAAATTTCACAGTATGGAGTTAAATAAATGAATTATTGTGTGTGTGTGATAGGGTTGAAGCTATCACGAGTTCACTTAATCTGCGAACGAGAAAACAAGACTCGGTGACCAAAGACCAGTAAGCTAGCTATTGATGCGTCTCAGCACCGCTAACTAGAGGGAGAAGTCCAACCTTGGAATGGGGAATTATATTCTGCAAACAGCCAGAAACGAGGGATAACAACAAACACAATTGAAAACGTATATATACAGTACAAAACCGTCCTTGGGGAGAGTTACCAAATGGCATACAAAAAGAACCACCGGACCAATAGCATTTAAGATATTTTCCAGTGGGAAATACGACATGAAGGTGACAAGAGCGCCTTTGGTGCGAAAACAAAGTAATTCAAATTTTCTAAATAAAATTACAAAAGTAGGTCCTTTCACAAGTGAGTTCTGGGGATCTAACGTCCCCAACAAACCTCCCCTTTTTAATAGCGTACTTTCCTGGGGTCGACTTGCATCTTAACTGTTGCTCGCCACTGTTGGAGAGGCCACCTTCTGGAACGGAGATCAGCTTGTTGTTGAGCTTCTTCTCATGGTGGGACTGCTGGTAATTTGAAGGTATCAAGCAGGATGTCAAGGGGAAGATTTACTCCTGTTGATGGGCGGTCTTGGGCTATCCGCTCCCGTAGTTGGTTTCGTTGTCTAGTCCACGTGTCTCTTCCCACCTTTACCTCGTACATAACTTGGCCTAGTCTTCAAACCACATGTGCTTCGGTCCAAGGACCATGATTTGCTAACGTCTCCAGCAGTGCATTTGTGTAAGATTGAGTTATTTTTAGTTGTTATTCGGTGTTAATTTGTTGTTATATGAAGTTAAAATAAAAAGTGCAAAGTGAAAACGCTTTTTTAAACGTCGGTGTGCATGTAAAATGTGAACCATCAAATGTATAACTTTAACATCCCGGATCAATTTCTGTCAGAATAATGATGGATGTGAGATAAACAGGTTGGATAGAGACAGAGTCCAATTACGTGTTAATGAACATTGACTTCGTGGTAGTTATTTGGATACCAACTTTTCTGTTCAGGCTGTTCTTATTAACCCATACATACAGAGCTTCTAATGTCAATCTTTCTTTATGTGTGCTAAACTCTTTCTGAAGTATTTTGTTCCCTTCGAAGTTAGTCTTGTGTTCTGTTTCTAACGCATGTAATGCTATTGCCGACATATTCTCATGTTTCTTCAGATCAATCGAGGGTTTGGAAACATGTTTCAAACATAGTTTGTGTTCCTTCAACCTCACATATAATTGTCTGCAAGTTTCTCAAACATAAGTGTATTCATTTGAACTACCTGAATTATTTCGTTCGAATTTGTTTATATTTCATAGTACTGGTGTATTATTTAAACATTCATGTGAATAGTTTTATAGCAGTATGACAAAATAGATCAAAATACATGAACTTAGAATTGCTACACTTTATTAACAAGAATGTACACAAGATTTAGAGATATGAAACCTATCGAATGAAGTACAATTTGAGGTACCAGAAATGAATAAATACTTTTGGATAAAACTTTTTTTTTTCATGTGAATTCTGTCACTGTTATCTAAACAGATAGGAGGTTGGAGGATTTTTTGAAGTTATTTGAGCAGGGTACTTCATAGAGGACAACTGGGTTTATTTTAGAGTTTTGTAATTATGCAAGCTAACGAAAATATTTTATAAGGTTTTCATTACAAACTCTTAAACTTAATTTCTGAAATGAAATCAATCTTAAATGATGCAATCAAAATGTTTATCTATGTCAATAGCTTCTAAACTGAAATTCTATATTTCTTACTCAGTTATAACTCTTACGTTGAATGAAACGCTTTTGGCAGCTTGATTAAAACTGAATTGTTTTGCGAAGTGTACTAAACTACCACTGGTCTTCAGTGATTAATCGATAACTCTGACATTAAGTCATCTAATCTATGGATACATTTATTTTGTGTTACCCAATACAGTTACTAAGGTTTTTCCCAATTATTCAAAAAAGGCAATAGCTTACTTTAAAATAAATAAGAAGTCAAACCTTTGAAAACGCTACTTTTTTCATCAAACTCTTAGGAAAATGAAATGAAAACTGTGTAACGAACTTCGTAATTAGTCTAGCTCTTCTGTCCCATACACACTAACAAATGTAGGTCAGTACAACCAGTTTAGCGGCAGATGCCTATGCATCAGTAGGCCTCAACATAAACAATGAAAAAAGCAAGGTCCTCACATACAACACAAAGAACACCAACTCAATCACACTTGATAGAGAAGCTCTGTATTAGGTGGAATCTTTCACGCATCTGGGACGCATCATCGATGAACAAGGAGGATCTGATGTAGATATGAATGAAGGATTGGCAAAGCACATACAGTATTTATACAGTTGAGGAACAAGTGTCTGGAGGGGAACATAAAGTTCATAATCTTCAATACGAACGTCAAAACAGTTTCGTTGTACGGGGCTGAAACTTCGAAAACTATTACAACCTTCATCCAACTGGTACAAGACTGTATAGCCAATTGTCTACGTAAGATATTCAATGTCCGTTGACCGGAGACCATCAGCAACAAACCACTATGGGAGAGAGCAAACCAGCTTCTATCTGATTAGGAAATCAGGAAAAGACAATGGAATCGGATAAGATATATATTTTGGAAATCATCAAACTGCATCACGAATCAAGTGTTAAGTTGGAATCCTGAAGGGATTCGGGAAAATAGAAGACCGACGAAGAGACTTCGTTGTAGATTTGAAGCAGATAATGAAAAGGATGAACAGGAACTGGAAACAAGTGGGGAGTATTGCACAGGAAAGAGATGGATAGAGAATGTTGTTGGTCAGTCTATGCTCTTCCACGAGTGGTAACAGGCGTAAGTAAATAAATAAGTAAGTAAGAGATATCTTTATATTTAGACATATATTGATCCCAAAAAAATGTAGGATACGATGAAACATAATAACTGGTTTCTGTTTGACTGAAACTTGTCACAGTTTGTCTGTATAATTTATTGGGTTACTCCACTAGAAATACTAAATAAATGACTTTTGTAAAGTAGAAATCTTTGATAGATTTGACAGTGTTTTCCATAACACTGTAGTTGTTTACTGTCTCATATATATATATACATATATGCAGCATATGAATTGTTTTGTCGAATAAAAAGACCATCTGTTACCTGTATTCTTAACATTGTTGTTTACATAAGAAACAAAATATTCTTTGCAAAATAATAAGTTTTTATTAATACAAACAAACTACAGCAACAATGCTTTGATAAATCTGTTTCATGTATTCGGCTAAGTTAAATCATTGCTTAACTCATCATATCCACTTGACTTTTAGAAATTATTTTTAAGTCACAAGTTCTAATCAATTTGATTCCAAAAATATGATTAAGAAAATCCATAAAAAAGCTCTATTTAAGTTATAAACTACTTTAATGCTAGTGTACTTATAAACTGTATGATACGTTTTTATGTTAGATGGTTTAAAGAAGCTAGCAGGAATCTCTGAACCTTATATCCTTGTTAATTAACATTTATTAGTACGTTATAATTGAAATGTTTAGAGAATTGATACTTCCATTAAGATTCAAGCTATAAGTTATCTATTGTAAAAGGATAAGATTTTACCGTTGACTTATTTATGTTGATGATTTCAAGTCACTCAGACTTCATGGTTCAATGATTTTTGACTGACAGAATTTGACCAGCGCAGAAGATTAAACGTCTACTATACTAGTCAGCATTTAATGATGAATCAGTATATAAAATATGAGTTAGATTTATATGTAGATATATGAACATATAAGTTTATATGTCAAATGAAATTGTGAAGTTGATTACTAGAACAAATATTGGTTTTGGTGGAGTTTTGTTCTCTGAGCTGGATGGTTTGGTCGTGGAGCTTTCATCGTTCTTATGAACGACATCATCAGCACAAACTTCAGATAGAAGGTGAACACAAGGAGTGAACACAATTTGAAACCTAATCATTCTGGACAATAAGCCAATATTACCAGGGTAAGTTGAAGGTGAGAACAAATTGTTTTTGAATACACAAAGTGGATTTGAATTTTCGTATCTCTAAAGCTTCAACAAACCTTAGTATACACACTTTTACACTTTTATACAACACCACAAAAGCCAAGTTCAATCTTATGACCTATTTCGATTATATGTTTAGCAATAGAGGAGAATGGATAGTTAACATGACGTAAGAGAGATAATAATGTAATTTAAATAGAGCAAGAACAAACATTGATGCAGAATAGTATGAATTCATATTATTTCGAGGTTTCTTGTCAGCTGCTTACAAACCAAAATTGTGATAGAATTTTTACATGGAGATAGTGTGAAACAATTGACATAAATGAGTGTAAATAACTTGATTACAATAATAACTATATATATATATATATATATATATATATATATATATATATATATATATATATGCTAGAAACAGGTCAGAGGTCAAAAGAGGGGGGGTTAATCCAGGGTGGGTGGCGTAATAAGTTAGTGAAGTAGATTACGTAACAATAATTAAATAGGGTTTGGAAAGTTAAGATGATTTAAGAGGATGTAATGTAATTACATAACAGGAATCACGTAATATATATATATAGAATAATATAAATTAGATACAAATTAGTACATAGGGATAAATGGTGAATAAATTTCTCAAAGCATTTGTAAATATTAGAATAAACAATATATTTGCCTTAAACCTGGTCACTTTGTTTTGGAATCAGTAATACAAATATTTAATTGTGGTAAAACTTAAAGAAAAAAATGTATTCTTCATTGATTTATGATAGAAATTTTATTACCAGTAAAATATTATAGTGAAGTTATGTTAATGTCAAAGTTTTCTACTTTATTTTCCTAACCATCTATTACGCATAATGCATTCATTGCTTTAATAACAATAATAATAATAATAATAATAATAATAATAATAGTAACGATGTTACCTTATGATAGTATGCTTATCATCAGGTGATATTTGGTATTACAGTTTCTTGTTTTTTTTATCATGTAAATCTGATTCTCGAATATATTCCCAATACTAATTTTAACATCACTATAAATAGTTCTTATTATACTTACATGTCACAATGTCTTAATTTAAGGTTGATCTAAACATATATGTAACATAAATTTTAAACAAATAAAAATAATTTTTTGATTGAGATCATGAACTGATTGATGTTGGACCACCATTGAAAACCTGAAAGCATTGGACGGCCGTTTCGTCCTATTGTGGGACTCCTCAGCAGTGCGCATTCACGATAGCGCTCTCGGGATTTGAACCCAGGGCCTTTGGTCTGGCGTGCGAACGCTCAACGCACTGGATCACTAAGCCGACATCCAATAGTGTAGGCACACGACTGAGGAGTCCCATGGTAAGAAGAAACAGCCGTCCAGTGCTTCCAGGTTTTCAATGGTGGTCTAACACCAATCAGTTCATGAGCTGAATCAAAAACTTAATAATCTCCACAACCACTATACTGATGAGAAATAATTTAATTTTTGTATTCTATTTACTTTTAAATACAATAGATATGTAGCTGAGGTGGATGATTTTGATAGAGTTATGTCCTCTGAACTGGATGATTTGGTCATGGAGCTTTTATCATTCTTTTGAATAACATCATCAGCACAAACTTCAGGTGGAGACTTCTACTTAAAGTTGACGACGAAAGTTCCACTACTAGACCGTCCAGCTCAGAGAACAAAACTATCAAAATACAATAGTCTCAATGTTACTAACTTTATCTTCTGTTCATACTCATGATCGATATACCAACTAAACAACATAAGGAGAACTGGTGTACGTACGTACGAAGTTCTAAGTTCTTACTGACTGACTGACTGATTGACTGACTGACTGACTGATAGTATTTGTTTGACGCAAACTTTTCATTTAGAGCCTTATGCATTATTTTTTTCTAATTACCATTATATTTTAATGTGTATCCATTATGCACGTTTTTCATCTAGGTAGCTCTTAAATGATAAAAAAGTAATAATTTATTAAATTAAAATATAAAATGTATGAGTTATAATAATTTAAGATTACAAGATAAATACACATATACACACCATCGTCATACCATAATTAGAAAGACGTTCCAGTAGAAATAACCAGGCCTACGTGCTGCTCTACATGTAACAGAAATACAAGGATGACTTTGACTAGAATTTGTATATTCTTGGGTAGCCGAACGTCTTGTTATTTCAATATGTTCATGTAGTCGCCATTCCTAAAATGAAATGTTAATTAAATTGTTGTTAAAGATAAAGGTTTAGTATGTTTAGAAGCTTTGTACTTAGGTCAATCAGCAATAAATAAACAAATTGAAACTGATTAAATCTACCAAACAATCAGAAAAATCAGTGAGAAATATGGGATCAAGAATCAAATCTAATGGCAATACGAACAAAATTGTGAGGTAGACAATGACAGGTTAAAGGTCAACAATAACTAATCAAGATCGAGGTCAACAGGACAGGCTTCGAGTTACATATGTAGAAATTCGAACACTTCAATTCGCGATCAAACTATCCATCTAAGAGAAGAAAACTCCGCTTAAATCATTCACTGAGTTACAAATCTTCTCCACCATCTCAATGCTTCGTTTTAATTTTTTATAAATTTGTTTTTAAATGTCGTAACTGGGTTGGTTTGCTTTAACATAGCACAGGAATGAGTACAAGCTAAATTTTGTCTAGGTTAAACAATCAGAGTACAATAAATGTTTTATTTTAGATCCCAAATTCAGTATGTTCCATCAACTGGACCTGTTATAAACATTATCTATAACTTGTAATCCATTATATTACTCCTCAGCTTCCCAATTAACACACGAATGAAAGATGTTCTATTTAATTTATTATTCTTTATTAAAAATTGATCTCCATTTCAAAGCAGTTGGTATAAATTATTTTGAATTCCATATCATACTAACTTTAAGAGATGAATTTAGCTTTATATAAGAAGTTCTGTTCACGTCCAACTGGGATTTCCCATTGACTTCATCAAAGACTTCTGAAAACATGCTTTCAGTAGTGTAACTGTTTGCTTTAATTATATAAACTAATATTTTCAGTTGTAATTGTCTACTTTATTGACGAATAAGTAGTATATTTTATTCTACAAAAATGTACAACAATGATTTCTAAATTCATATGTAAATGTTAAGACTAAAAGCTATTCCATATCTTACCTGCTGATCTACAAGCGTTTGTAGGTTTATTCTGCAGGGTTCATGCTTATCTGGTATAAGTTCAACCTCCGATTCCGGTCTTTCGGATGTCAGAGTTATGGTCAAATCCTACAATGTAAAAACATCGAGAGATGTTACTTCAAATTGCTGAGTTTGAAGATCCCATAAAATATATTATCATATAATGCATTCCTCGTATGAAGTTGCAGGTGCGCACTGTTGAGTCTCACACTAGGACGAAAATTTCGTCCAGTGCTTCCAGGTTTTAAAATGTGGTCTGACATTGATCGGTTTATGATTTCAATAAAATATCTTTGTTACAATAATTAAAGGTAATAGAGGAGTGAAATGAAATGAAGTGATATCAGAAACAATTACATATAAAATCATGGGGATAAGAGTAATAATTAAAGAGAGAGAAGGATATTTTCGAATATGAAATATAATACTGAAAGTTTAAGTTCAAGTTAACAGTAAGAATAAGATATACTTATTTTCTACGTACAGTTCTGGCTTCAACTCATGAATGAAAAGAACTTTTGCCATTTGAAAGAGTTAGGTACAGAGAAATCTAGGTAGATTCAGATGACTTGCATAATCAATCTTAAAATCAACCAGTGGATCAGTAAAAATTCATTAAAAAAGTAAAAGGACAGTCTAATTATTTTTTCCGTTCTCGTTTGAGTTGGAATCCAATGGTCTATATATTCCACTTTTGTCATTTTGTGGTACATGTAAGTCATGAGCCAAAACTGTGTATCAAGTTTATAAAAAAGATCAAAATAATAAGTTTTTCATTAAATTAGATCCATAAAGCTGGTAAATGTAAGTCACGAAAAAAGATGTAAGGATAACTCATTCAATCACGTAAAATAAATGACAATAACTAGATCTTTCTTGGAGATTCTTTTCAATACATCACTCATGCAAAAAAGCATTTATATCATGAAACTGTGAATTTTCTTTCTTTACTTCATTAAAGTGTGCCTAGGGATCTATTACATGTTTTCATGACAATATCATAATAAGCTGTTTCTAAATAAAGGTTAGATGGTGTGTGCTGGTGAGCGGCCTATGCTCCTCTACGAGGGATAACAGGTTTAAGTAAGTAAATAAGTTGACGTCGTCTAACACAGGTCACAGAATCACTGAACTATTCAATCAATTGAATATTACCTTACTGTTTAATTTATTATCTTCACCTTAACTGCTATAATTTTTGTTTTTTTTATTTTGATGAAAAGTCAAACAAAACGTTCTGTTAACTATTTAGAAAAATCAGCATGAAATCAATCATGATACATCTGTCAACCGTGAACAGTAACTTCCTACACATTTTCTTTCTTTCAAAATTCATTAATCTGTCACCAATTACTAACTAAGGTTTTTTTTACCCTAAAAAGTACGTACGTTTATTGATTTTAAGGTAGGTTTGACATTTCTTGTGTATTGGTCAATCACTTATTAACTAGGGATACATAATGAGATGAAATGTATATGCGATTGACCTAAAAATATATATCAGTGGCCAGCAGTGGAATCCAGGATGTGCATTTCATCCACTGCTAGCTACTATCCATCTTTGCCTAAAAAGCTTGTGACTTAAGGTTATATCGAGGCAGTCTGCACAGGATCAATTGCATTTCTAAATGACTATGGGAAGATAAAATTAAAATAACACCTAGTTAATTTAACAAGTATACTTGCTATCAATAATAAAAAAACTCGTTTTTGTAGTTGGATGTACAATGATTTCTGATAAAATTTCTTTATATTAACAACTATCAGGTACAAATAATTAATGTGGATAACATGTTAAGGATTTAAAATGAAAGGCACTGTTTTCGATCCACAGGGTGAGTATGAATGAAGGGATGCGGATAAACACGGCTTACAAGTCTCAAATAAGAGGAATCGATTACCCTGGAATGAGCTGCCAGCCACTAACCAACTTTGCTTCAAAACGCTCGTGAGTTAGTAGCAGTATCGAAGCGACCATGTCATGTTCTGTAGATTGCTAAAAAGATTGATTAATTACAGTCCTTTACATCATCAACGGAAAGATTCAAACACTTACAAATGAGATATATATGCAACAATCTGTGATGCTGTCCAAAATATTCAACAGTTAGATTTTTCATAAGGTTGTACATATGTTAGAGCATATATAGAAATAGAATATGCAACAAACCACAACCTATATCTGTTAGAAATAGTTTACAAACCATTCCTAGATATGAATACCGGTTTGTTCGTCTGCAAATTAGGTGCTTCAGCACAAGACCGAAGGTCCCTGCTTCGATATTCAATATGGTGGTAGATTAGCGCTGCTGGAGAGTTTCATACAGGGATAAAACAGCTCTCCTGTACTTTCTGGATTTCGATACTTATTTAACTAAGCTCAGTGCATGATGTAATCTAGGAAAATTTAACAACATTTAAAATGTTTCAGTAGTAACAATTCTTTAAATTATTTTAAATATATATTAAAAAACTTGTCCATGAAATGTGAATAACAGCGATTTATAACAACAGAAACACACTGTGTTTATATTGATGATGAGAATGTATTGTCGGATGCTATGTTAAGACTACGTGGAATATCTGATTACTTTCTATTACTTACATAAAGAAGTTTAGTTGAAAGTTGTTGTGATTGCAAACCAGTATAGTATAATAAGGATGTGAATAAGTTTAATAAATCAAATTAAATATTGTAAATAATTATCTTATATGAAAAAATGTCCTACAGCATTGGTACTAAAGAAAGACTAAAGAGCTAGAAATACCTGTTTATTCAACAAACAAACGCTTATAATAACTAGGAGTAAAATGAATAAAGAAATAAGCTCACTTATCTAGAAGACAGTCATAATAAAAACACGTAATAATATGATTAATTGAAACAGTTAAAACATTATGATATAAGGGAGGAACGTTTTCATCTCCAAGGGAAAAAAGATTAACACTTAACTCTTGTTGTATACATAAATCAAGATTCTGACATCTAATATCATTGGCTACAAAATACCTAAAATGTTTAAAAATTCAAAAAATAACTTTTCAGCATGTTTTCTTTTCCAGTTTTAGAATTTATAGCGACATTTTATGCTTTTAGTGTCAGTTGCTATGTTAAAACCACATAGCTTATTCTAGCTTCCAGAGAAGTCAGTTTATTATTCCTTCTTCAGTCACATTTTAATCTTGTCAATTATTCGATTATCAACACTGACTGATTTCACATGAGCATATGTGTGTGCACTTCTCATCCTATTCATCACATGTCTGTAGCTTATTATTGTTGTCTGATTATAAATATCGATTCACACTTGGATAAATTGAGTTAGCTCACACACATTCTCCACCATGCATCGTTTCGTTTCGCGCTTCATTTCTCTGATTGTTTGTCTAGACAAATGATTGTTTGAAATATACGTATTCGAAATTCATTCTTTTATTTGTCTTAATTAATTCTACAGGTTGAAATCATGAGTCAATTGAAGCTAGACCACTATGGAAAACCTAGAAGCACTGGACAGGCCGTTTCGTCCCAGTATGGGACTCCTCAGCAGTGTGCATACACGATCCCGCACCCCGCGGGGTTCGAACCCAGGACCCACTGGTTTCGCGAGCGAGCACTTAACCACGAGACCACTGAGCCGGCCGTCATCCAACGGTGTTAATGTCTAACTTCAAACAATCCACGAAGTTGCGCCACCGTACACCATTGTCTTCAGTGAGTTGATATCTCACAACAGACCTGGTTGAACTCCACTGGTAATTAATTCTGTTATTCACGAACATGAGTTAAGTCAACTATAATATACAGAGATTGGCGATATACATATATTATTTCGATAACAATCAGAAACGATCCAAATGGAGTCAGATATAGAGCCATTAAGAGTCAATAGTTGGTAAGAATTACATTTCTTAAAATTTCACTATTCGTAGTTCTATACTTATACAGTTTATTTCATTATTATTATTATTATTTACATTAAATGTATTCGAAATTATTATTTCATATAGACCAATGATAAAAACGATAAATCATAGTTCAAGGCTATTTCTTACCCTAAATATTTGATTGTCTATCATTTTATCCAAATGAGATTTGTATTTATTTATGTGAATATATATGAGTAATGGAAATGTCAAATACAATTATTTAGTAAATTTACAACAGGTTTTCTTTATATAGTACTGAAGAATAGAATCATCTTATTTTGTGGAATCAAGCAGAGATTTACAAAAACCTATTAGGGTTAATTATCTTATGTTATAGTATTACCACAGTTCCTGATAAGTATTAAATAGTGTGAGATTAAACCAATATATCATGTTGTGTAACTATATGGAAGAAAAAACAGATTAAATTCTATTTACTATGTGAATTCTTGTTGTCAATCCTTTATCGAATAATTAGGTCACTGTGGCCGATAATAAAGGATGAAAGAAGAACGTAATTCCGAGTGAGAGTAATTTACAGAAATGAATAAGTGAAGTGTTTTGTTAACGATGCAAAATAGAGGATAAGAGTAAACTTTATATTCTAACCTATCGATGGTTATTTGAAGTCTATGACTTAGTGAATAACTCTTTAGGTAATGGATTGAAATTCCATTATAAGAATAAACACTCGGATATAAATAAATCCAGCTGTATGAGTTACAATAAGACAAAACGAGGGTCCTAGGTTCCAGTGTTAGCTTCAGTCCAAAATTATACGGAACTATTTTAATTTTATTAAGAGCCTTCAAACATCTTTAAATAATGTTTTTGAGCGTTAAATCAACAGCAAGACATTAATTTGAGAGCTCCGTTCTTAGGAGATTAGGAGTTACAGTGATTTTATACGCTCAATGAAATAATGAAAGAAATCAAGCTATAATCTAGTGAAAAACGATAGGTAAGTATACGCCAATGTAACCAACATACACATTCATTCACATTTTACTAACAACAATATGTTCATCTGAATAACCAAACCAAACCGATAAACAGCGTTCACCAAAATTTCATCTAAAATTCGGATGAAAACTTAATGTTTTAATGTTTTCATCACGAAGTGAAATCAGCTAATCATGCCAAAATGGTATTTAGCC